GCGTGAATATTGTATACACAGATATTGTTTCAAAGGTAGAAAATGTTAGGCAAAGTTCTCAAATCTATGAAGTCAAGCATCTCTAGCACCTAGGTTGCATATACTAGCTACTTTATAAAGTGTTAAGACTAATATCATGTATCTGATGAAATACTATGGTATAGTTAATGGAAAGCAAACTTACTCTGATAGCACAAATATGACCCTGGTAAAATACTGACTAGCACTATATAGAGGCGTTGTGATGTGAGCTTATGGTAAACACATCCTCAACAAGCAAGGCTATTAGAATCCATAAAATTCACGACCCTGAAATAAACACAAGCTTGGAACTTGTTAAAAATGCTATTCAAATTCATATCATTCAATCTTTAGAATCAAAACATTTGCTGAATCATTTAGAACCGTTATTGGCTGAAGAAGAAATAAACATTTCTGAATTGCAGAACTGAAATGGATGAGAAGCTGATAAACTTTGACATGGAATTACTTATCAAAGGTTATCTTATTTTCAGCTTTAAATCAAACTGGAGTGGCATTGTTGATAATGTTTTATGGGGCGGTGGGGTAGCCTAGTGGTTAAAGCGTTCGCTCATCACGCCGAAGGCTCGGGTTCGATTCCCCACATGGGTACAATTTGTGAAGCCCATTTCTGGTGTCCCACGCCATGATATTGCTGGAATACTGCTAAAAACAGCGTAAAACCATACTCAGTCAGTCAGTCAGTGATAATGTTTTAGCAATTCTTGAAACCAATGATAATGATTTTGTAGCAGGGGATTATGTAATCTATGTAACTGAAATGCCTGCTAGTTGAGAAAGCCATACAACATCCAATTAAAGCCTCACTTTCTTGGTATACAAATTACATTCAAGACAGACTAAATACAAAAAATATTTCCAAAAAACATGACAATCCAATATCCAAACAATTCATATAAAGGTAGACATTGCTTTAGACATTCGAACAAGCTGTCGAAATATTTCCTGCCACATTTCAGAGAGGGTCTGTTTAAGGAAATGAAATTTGTTTTAGTTTACATCTATTTTTCATTTGAACTTGCTTTAGGTTAAATCTGTACATCAAGAAATTGGTGTGGCCACACATATTTAGGATAACAATGACTAGAAGAAACTACTATCACAGCATCTGATTCTTGTTACACAGGGAATTAAAAATACAAATATATACAGAATAAGGTATTAAAGTTGGAAATAATTCATATATAATTGGGCTTATCTTCCTAAAATACCATTTTTGTTAGTTCAGGTAAATTGCTGGAACTAGTTACGTGTAAAATTATTTTCTTTGTCTGAGTTTATGCTAGCTCTGAAGTTTCTTTTCTAATCCTGAACCCAAATGAGACATTAAACATTTGTAGATATTTACAATGGTAAAGATGAATGCAAAATGATTTTCAAATTCAGTGCATTGCCAAAGACAAGTGGAATGTATTTTAGGTAAAAAGGACAAATATTTTCTTCAAACAGAAGATATTTGAAAGAAATATCCATTATTTAGACAGTTGTGTACATTTTCAACTTATTGATACAAAAAATGACCAAATGTCACAGAGATCCTGAACAGTTATGCCAGGAGAGTCTGCCCTAGCTGCAGGTGGCTCATCTAACAGTACTGACAGTATGGGCAATATCTGGAAGTGAGGGGGCTGTGGCTATGGGTGTACCGGATGGTATAGTCACCTGAAATAAACACATGTCAAGCAGGGTTACACTAGCTACCTCCAGCAGTATAGCCAAACAGGTCGGGTGTCAATAGCGCAATATACAACAGCAAACAATGAGGCAACTTTGAAATTCATTCATTCCAGAAAGATAGAAAATTGTTTTCTTTTAAATTCATTTTTCCCTCACTGTTTGCCAATAAATCCTAGCTTAGAATTGTTAGGTGGTTAGTAAATTAAACTCATGTTATCGATGAATCATTATGAAATACTCTCCATATCTACAAATTATAAAGTAGAACTATTACTAGGCAAAACATCAATATACATGTACATGAAGTACATGTGATACTTTAGCATTCAAAAGCATTAATAAAAGAAGGCTAATGAAAGGGTATTCTTGAACTATAACCAAATGTTTTCCACAAACAGAGATAACCAATGTCAAACCCTGTGACATATGGCACTACAAGTGACACGTGATGGCACTAAGAGAAATAGGCAACCGTTGATGTGACAGATCCTTGTGGTGCAATAGAGAAGCATATGTAGCAGCATGTCCATCCTGTGACATGAGACATATGGTCTTATGAGTGAAGTGTGATAGTCTTTTGAGTGACAACTGACCTGTGAAGTGACAGTGCACAGTCTCTAAGTGTGCGACAGAGAAGCATATGTCATAGCATGTCAACCCTGTCACATGAGACATATGGTTTTCTGAGTGTCAGGTGATACCTTTTGATTGACAACAGACCTATGAAGTGAAAGTGCAGTCTTTACATGTGCAATAGAGAAGCATATGTCATAGCATGTCAACCCTGTGGAATGTGACATGTTGTCTTATGACTGACAGGTAATGCTATTTTGAGTGAAAGGTGAGCAGCCTGTGAACTGGCAGATTCTACTTGTGCAATAGGGAAGCATATACCATGGCCTGTCATCCTGGACCAAGTGACAATCCAAAGACCCTGAGAAGTGGCAGTGCACAGTCCTCACATGTGCTGTAGCAAAGCATACATCATGGGACAAGGAGAATGACAGATGACATAAATATGTGATGGTGCTCAGATTCCATGCACAACTGCATTAATATCACTTCCACAAGAGCTCAAGAAAGTGGTAGAAATAACCTTGCAGTACTGACATGAATCATCAAAAGATATCACGCTAATTTCTTCCTGACTGACAGGTACTCTGGTCAACATTATTATTTCTTTGTGGATTTCTTTTCTGTTTTGTCTCCTTTCTCAGTTTTGGACTTGGACTTGGATGTATTCTTTCCCTTTCCCTCCTCAGGGGGTGGCTTGTAGGATTTGGAAGGAGGTTTGTAGCTGTCTTGGTCTCGATAGTATGTTGGGTTTGATTCATAAAAGGCAGCCCAAGATGCTCGAGACTCAGCCCTGGATTTGGCTCGAGACTTTGCTCGTTCGTCCAAGTAATCCTGTTCTTGTTGGTTCATGTCAGTGATGAAACGAACAGTTTTCTGACTGGACTCCATCTGTGACTCAGTCAACTTCTTCAACATCTCATTGTGCCTTTGCCTTGCCTTTTCCTTCTCCTCAGCTTTCCTCTCAGCCTCTTCTGCCTCCTCTGCAATCTCAGCTTGCTGGCGAGAGTACTTCTCCCTGAGCTGATGCAGTGATACAGATGCTGACTGTAGCCGAGCAGCAAGGCTGGGATCAGTGGCCATGGGGTCAGGAGCTTGACCAGCAGCTGTGCGGGGGATGACAGGAGGCTGGAACACCGGCTGGGTGGAGGCTGGAGTGCTACCTGTCTGGCCACCTGCTGACCTGTTGCTGAAGCGAGAGATGGCCTGCAGAGCAGTGCCAGCTGCATAAAATCTGGCAGCGAGCTGAGGATTGGTTTTGAAAGGATCTCCAGATTTGTCATCTTTTGTCTCATCTTTTGGTTTGTCTTTCTTTCTGAAACCAAAGTTAAACCGTTTACCTTTTGACTTGTTTTCTTTGTTCTCATCTGAGTTACTCTTTTTGTCTCTGTCAACTGGGATCACTCTTACAGAAGAGTTTTCATTCTGGTACACAGTTGAGTAGGTGTTAGGCTTATCCAAAGGGATATGCTCTCCTCGATACACCAATGTCGGGTTACCAGCAGATGAAGGTGTGTGAGACCATGACTGTGAGATGTAGCGATTTGACAAAGGGTAGCTCTCCACATACCCTCTTGAAGACAAGGGGTATCTATCAATGTTGTGGCTTGATGACAAAGGGTACCTGTAAATGTTGTGACTTGTTAACAAGGGGTCCCTGTCCATGTAGCGACTTGTTAACAAGGGGTCCCTGTCCATGTAGCGACTTGTCAACAAGGGGTCACTCTCAAAGTAGCGACTTTTTAACAAGGGGTCACTGACTAAGTGGCGACTTGTTAACAAGGGGTCACGATCTAAGGTGCGACTTGTTACCAAAGGGCTACTGTCCAGGTAGCGACTTGTTGAGACACTGGTTTGGAAGTCGCTCCGAGACCTGGGGAGTTGGTGGACTTTACTGTACCAACTTTCAGATGGAATCGTACTGGTGAGTGCACCACTTGAGTAGCTACTTCTACCAGCAGTGAATGGTAACAGATTCTGGTATCTGTAGTTTGGTGTGAAGGCAAAGGTTTTGCTCAAACCAGTATGAGGATGTTGATAGGAGAAGTGCTGACCACCTGATAACACAGGCCCAGCAGAGCTCCAGTGAGGCCTCCCATTGACAGAATAAGACCTGTTGGTTGTGTTGCCATCTCTTGGGGTGCGTTGAGTGTAGATGGTATTCACACGGCCGTCTGTACTCCTGAAACTTTGAATCCCCTGTGGAATCACTGGACCAGCATCATCAACTTCTTGACTGGAATACACCTTCATCACTCGCTCCCCGGGTGAGAACCCAGACACTATATTCTCAACCATGCCTCTCTGCTTAGGTTTTTTCCAGATTCGAGGATACACAGAGAAGGGCAAGATAATCTTTGGCTTCTCTGGTTCCTCTTCTTCAACTGTCGTGGTTGTTTTCTTGGAAAACCTCATCATCGACCTGAGTGGACTTCTGTATGTGCTGATGCGACTAATTGGGTAATAATCATCATCATAGTCATGGTAGAGAGGCGACAGGGAAGAATACCCATAGACAGAACCAAAAGGAAAGGTAGCACCTAAACCATAGAGCCCTAAAGAAGTGTGAGGTCTACGCGAGCTGAAAGAAGTCATAGATCTAAGTGCATCATCATCATCACTGTTGTTGAGCAAGGAAAGGTATCTCATGGACGACGATGGTTGTCGGACAAAGCTGCGCAGTCTGCTCCACAGATAGGCACTCCTACCTTCACGATCATCCTTGCGCCGGTTGCGTGCCAACATGTTTTGCTCCTGCAGCAGCATCAACTCTCTCTGCATTCTCTCATTCTCCATCTCTAGGGCCATCATGCTGTGCATGTACTCATTGGTCTTCTTTTCTGGAAGCAATGAAAACAAATACGATTTAGAAGTACTTTACAAAGCAATTATTGTAGTATAATTCATGACTCAAAATGGTAGTCAAAGAAAACTTTAATCCAGAATACTTTTAAGATGTAACTGTAACTCCATTTTACACTCCTACCTTTGACAACCTTTGTTTGTTTGGGAGCATTGCGTAGCTGATCTTCAATAGCCTGCGCTTCTGCCAGCATCTGAGCCAGCTGAGCCAACACCTCGGGATCAGATCCACCATTCTGAATGTATGCCTGTCGGATTGCACTGGAATAACACAGACATGTCCTTCAGGATAGCATCACACACATCACAGACACACTGACTGAGACTCAGAGACAACACTACTAGTACCAGCCAGGATCAGGAGTTACTGACAATCAATGGAAATCACCTCTATCCATGACACAAGGATCATTAGGGGCAGTGGGGTAGCCCAATGGTTAAAGCGTTCGCTCGTCATGCCGATGACCTGGGTTCGATTCCCACATGGGTACAAGGTATGAAGCTTGTGTCCCTGTGTTATTGCTGGAATATTGCTCAATAGCAGCGTAAAACTAAACTCACTCACTCACGATGATCATTGTAAAGAGACTTTGGAGCAAAGATGGACTAAAACTTAAGTAGATACAGTGAAGTATCCAGTGATGATGAGATAGGAATGTACATGCTGCAAATGACTTTGTTAAGGACGTGAGCCATGAATGAAAACAGATGAAAGAAGCAGGCTATGGTCATGGAGTAGGCTGAAATGGGATGGAAGAAGGATGGCACAGACCTACATTGATAACAGAGCAGCATATCCTACCTGATTTCTGCCACCAAGGAGCTTCCATAGTAGATGGGGTATGTGAATTGCTGCTTCTGTTTCTGCTCAAACCTTTCTTCAGCTCTGAAGCAATTATGAACAATTATTAAACATGGTAAGCATCAGTTATTTGATTAAGTCAATAGAAACAACCACTTATCATATCAGTATCAACAAGTAGTCATTACTTTATAGAATTACAGTATCTGCATCTCCATCATATTCCATAAATTTGGATTAGCAAGGCCAACTCGTCTTTTGGATGATGAATTTGCAATATCTGGTGATGAAACAATGAACTATGACTCTTCCCATCACTAGAATAGTGTATGGAACACAATAACACTTATGACAAAATGCAAGAAACTGCAGAAATATAATTAGAGCTCAAGTGACAAAGACAACACAAAAGAATTAGAACTATGAAGAAATAAAGTGGGAACACAAACATGGAAAGAGAGCTAAACACTCACTCCCATCAACGATGAGACAAAATAATGACAATAACTGCCTGAACTGTCAATCTCACATTCTGTATTTTGGATTGTCTCTGTAACTCCTGTATCCAGGCTTAAACTGTCTATTCATATTCATTCCCTTGCATATTAAACATTCATCAGCATAACTGGTCACATCTGGGGGGACACCATTCTGTCCTCTTTTATTAAAAGCCGTTACACATTCTCTCCATGCTGATGCTGGCTGAAACGTCTGTTTCTGGGCACCTTCTGGGTGTGTCATTCCCTTGACAGAACCAGGATTGGTCGACCCAGGTGTATGTTTCACTACAGTCCTATTGTTCATATTTGATTCATGACTGGCCAGGCTTCTGACACATTTCTGTGAGTCCGAGTCATCTGTTCCAGATGTTTTGCCATGCAAAAGCAAGGACATGTCAGATGAGGTCTCTTTCCCCATCCACAATGGTGGAGATGTTTGTATTCCTACTTCAACTCTGGACAGAATCTTTTCATACTTTTCATCTCTTTCCTTCCTCATCATCACATAAAATCTATCCAGCAAGTCTGATGTAAGTTTCTCATTCCGAGACAACATGTTCAAGTCGCTGTAAGAGACAGTTTGCTGAAGAGAATACAGTGAGACCCTATCTATCTGGACAGTACCATTCTCAATGAAATCACTTAGATCAACCACATTAACTGACTTCAGTGGTAGCAAATCACCGATACAAAGTAATATCCTTTGATGCTTTATGATGATGTTGCTAACAAAAATTGTCAGGAAAGATTGTTTTCTCACTAAACAGAGTCCAGATAAACAAGGTTCCACTGTAGATGCCAACAGAAGGAGGCTGGATGAAAGACAAGGAAGTGAAATATGGAGGATAGGATCATACTGTATAGAGTATAGAGTACAAAAGCAACAGTAATCAGTTACTGCTCTCAAGCAAAATTACAGTAATTGCTAAACCATGTCAGATGATCCCTATTTAGCAACATAACTTAACGAAAGTCTTCATTCCACTCACAGATCAAATTACATACATGATATTGATGGGCTGCCTGATGGTACATACATGATATTGATGGGCTGCTGATGGTACATACATGATATTGATGGGCTGCCTGATGGTACATACATGATATTGATATTGATGGTACATACATGATATTGATGGGCTGCCTGATGGACTGCCTGATGTACATACATGATATTGATGGGCTGCCTGATGGTACATACATGATATTGTACATGATGGTACACACATGATATTGATGGGCTGCCTGATGGTACATACATGATATTGATGGGCTGCCTGATGGTACATACATGATATTGATGGGCTGCCTGATGGTACATACATGATATTGATGGGCTGCCTGATGGTACATACATGATATTGATGGGCTGCCTGATGGTACATACATGATATTGATACATGATGATTGATGGGCTGCCTGATGGTACATACATGATATGATGGGCTGCCTGATGGCTGATATTGATGATGGTACATACATGATATTGATGGGCTGCCTGATGGTACATACATGATATTGATGGGCTGCCTGATGGTACATACATGATATTGATGGGCTGCCTGATGGTACATACATGATATTGATGGGCTGCCTGATGGTACATACATGATATTGATGGGCTGCCTGATGGTACATACATGATATTGATGGGCTGCCTGATGGTACATACATGATATTGATGGGCTGCCTGATGGTACATACATGATATTGATGGGCTGCCTGATGGGTACATGGGCTGCCTGATGATATTGATGGGCTGCCTGATGGTACATACACATGATATTGATGGGCTGCCTGATGGTACATACATGATATTGATGGGCTGCCTGATGGTACATACATGATATTGATACTGACATACATGATATTGATGGGCTGCCTGATGGTACATACGATATTGATATTGATGGTACATGATGGTACATTTATGATATTGATGGGCTGCCTGATGGTACATACATGATATTGATGGGCTGCCTGATGGTACATACATGATATTGATATGCCTGATGGGGCTGCCTGATGGTACATACATGATATTGATGGGCTGCCTGATGGTACATACATGATATTGATGGGCTGCCTGATGGTACATTGATGGGCGATGCCTGATGATGATATTGATGGGCTGCCTGATGGTACATACATACATGATATTGATGGGCTGCCTGATGGTACATATTGATGGGCTGCCTGATGGTACATTGATGGGCTGTACCTGATGGTACATGGTACATACATGATATTGATGGGCTGATGGTACCTTGATGGTACATATGGTACATACATGATATTGATGGGCTGCCTGATGGTACATACATGATATTGATGGGCTGCCTGATGGTACATACATGATATTGATGGGCTGCCTGGCATCAGCAAGTTGTCTGCGCAGCTCTTCTAGCAATCTCTGGTTGCGTAACTCTTGTTCTCTTAGTTCATCCAGAAGGGAGTTAGATGGGTCTTCTTCTCTTACTGGTTTTCGTCCAAGCTCTTCTAATCGACGCCGGAGTTCTGTAGGTATGGAAGAAAAGGTTGATACAATACAAGGCACGATTATTGCCAGTTTATATCTAATTCAAATTTGTGATAAATACAAACTATTTTGTGACATATATCTGAAACCTAGAGATGTTGGCTTATCTTGATGATGTTGTATAACCCGTGTGTTCCTTACTTCTATTCAACACTCCACAGCAGAAATAGGAACATTACATGACCACAGGAAAAAAACATCATCTGATTATTACAGTCGCTCCTGAAAGTGTTTCTTTTACCTACTCAATCTTTAAATAACACATCTTTGTAAAGATTTTGAGAGTTACATATTATATGTCACATATAACCTGTAAACACTGTAATAGTACAAGCTTAAACCACAATCATATAGCTGGAATACTGCAGAGTGCCGCATTAAACAATAAACAAAACAAGCTTATGTTTGGCTTGTATTGATACTGATATATGTATATTAATTAACTACTTTCAATTAACATCAACGTTTGTGATAAAATAAAAGGCTCAGAGTGGTATCAATAACTGCCATCACACTAACATTTCATTCCACAAAAATGACTTTTAAATCTTAAATCCAGGATCACAGTTGGGAGACGGCCATCTGTACTAAGCAATCATTGGCCCCCAAATTGACATTGACCCATCAGGTGATTCAAAGTGTTACCAGCTGATCAGTACACACCTTCCCTCTGTCTCTCCAGGTCCTTGTTACGTCCCTGCAACATCTCCATCTGACGGCCATGGCTTGCCGCTAGTTGAGCCAGCTGTGGGTCAGGGTTCCTCCTTGGAACATCACCCTACACAAAACAAAGTACAAAATTAATCTAACGTTAAAATCTGAAAGATTTAAATACCATAGCCGTAAACTCAGGATACCGTTCCATTTCGAACACAGCTCACTCATATTTCTCACTGAAAGACTGAGACGTAAGAATCATAAAACCATGGAACCAGCAAAATAGCAGGTTATTACACTTTAATAAACTAACCAGCAGGTGTAGACACCATGAGGTACTTCCAGCTAGCAGACAATATGTCTGATAGTCATTAAACTATGACTACACTTTGGGAGCAATCTTTTGATTCTACAAACTACTGTCCATCAAAACTGGCATTTGTCAAAAAGGGCCTTAACATAACATTTATTATAAGCTAGTTAAACAAGTACCTATTATTAGAATTGTAACTGAAATGAAGAAACAGTTGTGCTTGCTAAGTAATATACCCCTAATGAAATTCTGGAATAACTCAAACGAAAAGGGATTTTCAGAAACCAAATATCATTACCAGTATGTTACAAGGTGATTTGAAAAATTTACAATTTCATGTTAGTCTCACATCTAACTCACAATAGAATATTGGCATGTGCAAGAATAGGTGAACAGGAATAAGATACCCAGCAAACCCATGTCACACAAAACACCATTCAAACTAATCTGTGATCACAGCAATTACACATGAAACCCCAAACACACTGATTATCTTAAAGCACACAAACACATTAATAGTGAAATTACATGCAATTAGTAAGTGCAGACAAACCACAAGTGGAAATGATGCCAGTCTGCATCAGGTCGTACTGTACAAATGAAAGCTAACAATATTCAACTGTGTACAATAATAGCATTTGTGGCACAGGTTTCAATTTAGAAACAGGTTCTACGCAGTCTGTGTGCGACTTTTGCCACTAATCCCAAAGGCAGAGTCACGTAAAATTCAGTTTGGTCTTGTAAGACCAGCAAATAAAGTAGCCTCGAAAGTACTTGAGCTCAGACTGCCTAAGTGGTACCTGTATAATACTAAACAGCATGATGTTTTAACATTCAAATACATTATGATTAACCTGTTCGTGTAACCAACCACAAATGTAAAATGTCAAACTAGTGCAGGAAACAAAAGTGCCAAAGTTTACTCTTGGTTTACAGATTTGTTTGTAAATACTTGTGGATAGTAGGTGGGAAACAAATACCACAGACATTTCAGGTATCATTTTTGATATTCAAGAAGACATTGTTATATATTGGCATATTGCCACGTGTAAAGTGTTTACAAAGTTGGCCCTTTGGTTTTACTGTATAACATATAACATTCACTATTTTATGCAGTGAAGTTTTCACATTTGATTTTGTACCCAATTTAATTGTTTAGGGTTATGGATCTGTAAACCAATTTTCTTTATAAGTTTCAGGAATGAACAACTATGACAAACAGGAACAGTTTAACACGCTGTGTCATAACATGCACTGTGATCAAGTGCCTCCACTGTGCATCTCTCCACTCCAGCTGGCTGTAGGGCATCACTGACTTACTTCATCAGGGAGGTGGATGCTCATGCTAGAGTCACTGTTCGTGGAAAAAGTACTGTGTCTGCCGGTGGGGTATGCTTGTTCTCGTTCTCGGAGTCTCTCATACTGAAACATGATGGAACACATGCTGAACAATCATTGTAGAACATGATGATTTAACATGCATTTTTTCACTTTACTTCCTGTTTTTAATCTATTCAGCAGCTTATACCTTATCATGTTTACTTGTGCATTCACAGTTGACCATGTTAAACCTAATCAAGTATATTGATAATCATTTCAATATAGTTGGATAAATAGGGATGAGGATATGTGACAAAAACTCACACACACGAGTCATGCTGGGAATAAATTTGAAAAGGAAAAATGAAGACCAAAACAAATACAATATTAAAAATGAATGACTAAGTGCTTCTGGCCTTTCAATGATGACCATAAGACAGAGAGAAAGCCACCAGCAGTCTGTGACTTTAGTCCTTAGGCTGAAGCCCATGTCTAGTAACATTTCTTACAATCTAGTATGCTCAGCTTGTACTAATCCATGGACACTAAGACTAATAGCCACTGAAGTACAGGTTCTAGACATGATAGACCCAATTAGTTTTGTGAACGAACTGCATCAATAAGTAATTACAGTATGTGGTGTAAATTATTATGCATACTGGTAATATCTTTATCACTGTATGCTATCACATTGTTGGTTACACAAGGAGAATATTTTGGGAGCATTACAAGGCCATGAGGTGATAACAAATAACTTTTTCAGGTGGGGTACAGCCTCAATAGTCACAAATGTATGATGTTTAATTTGCTATGCTTATAGACAATTGGTCACACATCAATAACACTACATCACACATCAAGACCAGTTAAAGATGTGACAAGACAATGACAAACCACTCATGATGGAATCTAGACAATGAACACATTTTAGGTTTGCAGGATTTTTAACCTGATGTTACTTTAAATGACATGAAAGTTGTGTCTCATAAAACATAATATCATATAATGCTCAGATATGTTGTCTGACTGTATGAATGAGAGAAGGGAAATTTCATGACATTGTAACAAGTAGACTCTGATGATTTTCACATAGATATTTTCCATTTTGTGCAATTCATGATCACAAGCCATGTGGTGACAAACGAAGAATGATAATGTGTAATGAGTACTTTTATAATATTCAGAGGCGGTGGGGTAGATGTGTGGTTTAAGTGTTTGCCTGTTTTGCCAAAGGTCACCCTGGTTCGACTCCTCAACTGAGCACAATGTGTGAAGACAATTTCTTGTCCCCTAACTGTAATATTGCTCAATCATTGCTGTAAACGATGCAAAACCTTATTCATTTACTCCATAATAATAGAAGTTTAAAAATAATCAAGTGCATACAGTGTACTTACATTGATCTGAAGCTGCCGTACATCTTTATGATGAGATAAATGAAGTCTTCCTTTGCTATTTTTTCCCACTCCAGCATTGAGTTGCCGTTCCGTGTTGTCCAGTTTGTCAAGAAGCATCCGTTCCTCCAGATCCCGGACTTCTCGCATACGCGATCTCCGATCCTTCAGAGCCTGGAGTTCGCTTACCTTTTTGCGGTTAGGCATTTTAGAAAAATTTAATTGCTGCCTTGAAATTAAATTTTTCAGAGATTTGTCAAGTTCTTATGAAAAGATGAAACAACAAGACTTCTACTACGATCTTGTTGATTTATGCTGCCATGAAGCCTAGCTAGAGGCTCAGGGCTTGATGTTTTCAAGCATTTCATTTTCGAAAATATATGAAAATATTGTAAATTCATATTGCCAAAGGATAAAGAAATTCTCCCAGGAACAGAATTGATTTCCCACAAAACTATTGAAAAAGGATCAAAGGAAATGAGACTAAAAATGAAATCACAAAAAAGTCTTGAACTGTCCTTCAAACACAGATGGAATATTTTCGTAAATTTGAGATAAGATCTTCTAAGCCTCTATCTGACGAGAAGCCAAGCCCAAAATGACTTATCCGGTGAGACGTGACTATTGGCAACGGTCATTTCTATCCAAACAACTCTAGTGACAAGTTTGATTAGTCGTCTCACATGGAGAACCGACAGAGGGTGGAGAATCAATTTCAAAGGGCACATTATGAGAGCCATCAATTTGATTGCAATAAAAACACACTCACAAATTCATCTTTTATGAATACACAATGCCATCTTTTATATTCCTGAATAATACCAACTTCCCAAGCAAATACACACTGGCCATGTTGTGATTTGTAACTAGGTATTTTCAATACTGCTACCAATTTAAACTTGAATTGCCAAGCAGAGCCACAACTTTCAATGGTTTATACAACATACCTTAGAAAAGGCCAGGTATATGTTGACAATGCATAATAGATAGGCACTTGGCCATGATAGAATGAAAGCTTTCTATGGTCTTGAGGAGTAGGTATAGCCAAGCAGGGAAGGACAATTACAATGGGGATAGACTGCTTGACAACAGCATGCTGATATAGAATGTTAGGGAGTACGTAGCAGTAAGGTACAAAACATTAAATACAACTGACATCAACAATCTGGGGAAATGAACAAGATCAATCTTGAAATGCCAGGGAAACATATCAAGTGGAACAGAACGTCTCTTAAATGAAAACATGAATACACACTTATCCTAATGAAATATATGTTTGATTATTCGTACGTATGAGCAATAGTATGACTGTGTATAAATCACGTTGCAATAAGAATATTTTCAACTGACAACAATTTAGTTTGTGCTTAATGAAAGACAGATAGCCAGAAATGTTGCTATGGGGTCATATGTAAACCCTGTGATCTACAATCTTGGCACATCATTACAACTTACACTCATAAACATGATAAACTTTCATGTCTCTTTACTTTATTTTAGCATAAATAAATTCATCTATCCTGAGAAAAATGTAACCAGCCACAGCCATTCAGCTATTTTGGTCACTGCTTTGTAATAAATTATGTCTTTCTCAAGAGGACACGTAAATATATGAGGGTATGATGTATAATGACAGAGAGTACATGTAAATGAGTGAGTGAGTGAGTTTAGTTAGTTTTATGCAGCACTCAGCAATATTCCAGCAATATGGCGGCGGTCTGTAAATAATCGAATCTGGACTAGACAATCCAGTGATCAACAGCATGAGCATCGATCTACGCAATTGGGATATGATGACATGTGTCAACCAAGATAGCGAGCCTGATCACCCAGTCCTGTCAGTCGCCTTTTATGACAAGCATGGGTTACTGAAGATCAATTCTAACCCGGATCTTCATGGGTACATGTAAATGATGACGGTAGGCACGGAGGATCTCACCAGTTTCTCAGCCACTATGGTGTTTCCATTCTGAACGCATGCAATTAGAACAACAGGGGAATTGGTATAATTGTGTGTCTAAATATGTGTACACAGGGACAAGAGAGATGCAGAAAACAAACAATAGACATGCATAGATAAAGGTGACACAAAACAAAGAACACACAAATAAAAGCAATTTTATTTGGAACATGATGAAACTGAAACAAGAAATCAACTACAAGAACTCGATAGAATGAACAGCAGTATTAAATCAAAGATACATTTATCAACATGTGAAACTTGTAAATAAAGAACTGTTATATTCGTTACACTAGTGATCTTTAAACAAATATATGCATTGTAGCATATTCATTATTTTCATGATTATGTTGTTCATAAATACATTTATTATTAAAGCTTATAACTTATCTATACGATTTAGATATACTCAGCAAAATAACTTTTGCATGTAATTATCTGCATGTAACTTATTTTTTATATTAATAGAATCAACTATGACAGCACTTCTATTTCAAACCAAGGCATCAAGCATGATGAAGATTTGATTAAAAGTATGAATAATCATAATTATGTTAAAACTTGTTGAAATTAAAATACATGTAAAGAGGATATTGGGAATATTTAATTGGATAAACACATCAGGAAGCAGGGGATGCCAGGATATGCATGGAACAGGATTGCAGCGAACATGGCTACACACAAACATGGTATACAATAAGCTCATATTATGGAAATGTTTCCTTTCTAAGCAGCATTTAATGACCAATATATAATGTTTAACAGTATTGCAATGGCTCATCACCAACTTTTACAAAAACACGTTCAAGATATTGGAAATTTAGTGAATTGTTTTGCCGTTATAACACCAAAGATATATGAGAGTCTGACAGCAAAGAACACCTTGAAGTATAAACAATTGAACATTCAAACCACATATGCACACAAAATAACATGACAATAACACTCACCTTTTCCCCTATTGACCTAGTTTTTTTCTGTAACCATTAAACATTATATAACTTACTGAAATATATAAACATCCAGTAAATACACAGAAATGGTAAAATAACTACTAGTACTCTATACTTCAGGCCAAGTGACCTACTTTTCTTATTTTATTCATGTTTGGATACAAGAGGTAAAAATGAAATTAAAAATGAACAGATTTGAGTGAACATAATTTAATAAAAGGGTCACTGTAATATCGTAATTGCCTTATGATTAAACTAATTGTTTAATCACTGTTTCTTATTCAATCAGTTCAAGGATTTATTTGGACATTCTTAGAGGCTGATAATCATCTCCAGTTTAACAGTAAATTTTCCAAAATGTAATTAGAAATTTAAAAAATTAATTATTCATAATTTTGAAAAGCTTTCATTTTACTGAAAATAGAACAAAAGTAATTTGTAAAAGTTTTAGACTCTTAGTATTCCATTAATGTTTAAAATACAATCTAAAACTTCTCCGAAATTTGTAACGAACAAAAATTCCCAACTTCAGACAAAAGAAAACATTTTCCAAATTGACATGCCTGTAATTAACATGATACCATTCAGATTAAAGAGGGACTGGGCTTAGATGAATTGGCAGTCAAATTCCTCATACAATGCGTCTTACATGTCTGTATATCCAGACTGCTTATTGTTAGAGTGCACCTTTAATGATCTATAATGGGTTTTTGTTTAGTCGTAAACAGTCTCCCCCCCCCAAGATCTACAGCATATGAAACCGGAGAAAACCAAGCAATTTCATGCCACCTTTTCACTGCATTTCCCTAAGGTGTGGGGTCTGATCCACTTGACCCTTTGTATGTGCATTCCATAAATTGCCATCCCAGGGTGTTAATCAGATCATTTCATGCCAGGCACAGTCACAATGGCACTGAATGTGTAATAAAAGAAAGCCTGCATGGATAATTCCCAGTCTTCAATCATTTCCATTGTTGAAGCCAAATGATTTATTCACCTATGGAGACAAATCAATGAAGAAAGTATCGCCAGCTTTACTGGCTTTGTCTTTTATATTTACTGCCTCCTAGAATATTCTTGGTTCATGGAACAGGATATTACTGTTGTACTAGAATTGAAAACATTTGCTCTAACATGTCACAGCATATTTCCATATAAGCTGTATCTAATATCTAAATCTACATCTTATGGTTTGAATCTATCCAAAAAATAATAACAATAACAATAATGACAAGGTACTTAATAAGAAACACTGTCATCATATCATTCATATATGACAGAAAGGAAAGACTTCAATAAAATCAGGAACTAACACCAAATAGACAAGTGACCTAAAATTGCTTCATCAGGCTTATATCATATATTCATAAGATATTCCACAAACCTTGTAATAAAATTATGATTCTTTTTACCATGGTCACAGCTATATAAGGCATATATTGTGGATATTTCCACATATCTCACTAAGCCTTCTTCACCATCAATTTTAAAAGTAAAAGTATGCTGGTTTGTTGTTTAACGCTGCACTCAGCAATATTCCAGCTATATGATGGCAGTCTATATTAATTAAGTCTTGACGAGACGATCCAGTGATCAACATCACAAGCATAAATCTATGCAGTTGAGATACGTACGATGACATGTGTCAACCAAGTCAACGAGCATGACCACCTGATCCCATTAGTCACCTCTCGACAAGCATGGGTTGCTGAACACCAATTCTAACCCGGATCTTAAAGGGTTTATTTATGTAATAACATCACTCACCTCTGGGGACTCTGGCCTGGGAGAATAGTCCAGTATCCTTGTAGTCCGGCCTACAGTGTTCCCTGGGCAGAACTTGCCCTTGTGTTTAGCAAGCAGCCCAGGGCTGGTAAATGTCATGCTACACTCATGACACTTCCATATCCCTAATGCTGATGATGACATGGTGACAAAGTACTGTCTCTTTTGTCACTTACATCTTTCTGGTTTCTCAAATGTCACAAGTTAATTCTGAAACATAATGAAAACATTTTAAAAATAACTGGGAAAAGAGAACCAACTTTTCATCTTCAACCTGTTCAGTATCAATTAGAAATAAAACAATTAAAGCTGTAATTTGTCCCGGTCCATGTCAAGGACACGAACTGCTTATTGTCCAAATGGCTTTAACATAATTTTACGAAACTAAGGATGAAAGTCAGGGGTCACTGTCATAAGCCCAATGTAAAAAGTCAAAGATATAGGAGGTTACACTGTGCCGAAAGTTAACACTAGTACTATAACAAAAACATTTAAGGAATACAGGGCCCCTCCGAAGTTACAAATGGACTTACATAACCTTCTCAGTCTTTACTATATTACTCTGAACATTACCAACACCAGAAGCTGATAACAAACCTCACTTTTATCTGCTTTGGGTATTAGAATAAATAACATTTTGAGAACCTTTGATAGCAGCCCTTGTCTTATGTGCATTATTTTAATTTACTTAGGATCTGTTTCTTCAAGAAAAGCTATGATATAGAACAATGAAATATTTGAAACTTATTATATCAGAATAATATAACTAATAATTGAGAAAAGAAATGTAATCAAAGAACGAATGATATATTAAGTAAGTGTTTCTATATTACTAATAAGCATGACAAGGATGTACCCAAAGTAAATGAATAACGCGTGATTATGGATGAAAATGATGAAAAAACATAACCTTAAATATGTTTTCTCAGTATCCTTCATGTAAAGAACAATACATATAATGGTGAAAACTAAAACACACATGTATTTCTAGCTTTACCTACTCTCGAGTGGGATTAAAGGGTAAAGTGTTGCACATATCTCAAGTGAGTGAAATAAAATATCCAGACATGATATTTCATACAAAAAAAATATCTTTTTTTAACCTACAGTTATGTAAAATAAATAAACATGTTAAACTATCATTTGAACCACATATTTCTCATGATCGCTTCTTTCTTTGGAAGCTAAAGTGACACCAACTGCTTAATTGGGAATACATAGTTAGAGTGTTCAGTTCTGAAAATATAATTTGAATAATAAATATGTTTACTTCTGAAAACAAAAAATTAAAAAAATCAATATACCTTGCCATCCATTAAAAGTATCATGTCATATATTCACGTTCTTTCAACTTCTGAATGCCTATGAAAAAAACTTAAACCATTCACCAGTGTTTGAATATTTTATCTTTTTTTTAAAAAAATCGATTGAATTTCTCTCAAACAACCTGAACACATTCAAAGTAAACATATTTCAACCGTTCAGACCTGAAGAAAAATCACGATAACTAATCATGGCCTGTCAGTTATTGATAGAATAACAATAATCTTTGCGGCATGCAGACGAGTCGACTGTCTTATCTTGTCACTAGCAGACAACTTTCTGAAATCACATTTCCGGACATAATAAACATTCAGTTTTCCATTAAAACGACTTGCTGACAGTTGAACAAGGACATACACCGAGTAATCACTGGTGTTGGCAAAATCATACCTTTAGATGATCTAAACCGGCTTTCCGCCGAAAGTTAACACAACTTTCTTTCACATTTTCTTTTGCTGTGCTCATCGGCCGCCATGTTGTTTCTTGCTGCGCACGCACCTGTTTCGCGTGCCCCCATTCGCCGTTGTCATGAGAACGTTGACATCACATGACCCACCCCTCTAAGGTAAATAAAACCTCACGCTCCTCAGAAAGAAAAGCTCTTTTACGTTAAGAGATGTTTACGAATCGGAACGTTTTGTTCAGTTGAATAGCGTATAGTGCCGGTGTAAATACAGGCATACCCATTCATATTGCTTTCTTCAACGAGTACCGACTCTAACACGCATACAGAGTAGATCCGGCTACATGTCCCGGAGATCAATATAAATATCTGTCACCGCGTGTGTAGTAGAGAGATTTAGATCTACGATAATAAATATTAATAAATTAAGTAACTTTCATGAAAATAAAAAAAACCTTTTAAAGCCAACTATTCTCTGTATACTAACGACAAGACATAGAGAAGAAATCATGCTTTGTACGTCGTAAAACTATTGATGGGTGCAGATCCCCAAATTTATTAAAAATAATTTACCACCACAATATTATTACATGCAATAATAAACAATATGGTTCGTTACACACAATAATAATTCATTTATGTTTTACACAAAACAATTCAGTAGTTTGAAACTTTGGTCAGGAACACCATTGTAGAGTGAGTGAGTGAGTGAGGTTTTACACCTCTTTTAGCAGTATTCCAACAATATCACGACGGGGGATATCGGAAATGGGCTTCACACCTTGTACCCATGTAGGGAATTGAACCAGGGTCTTCGGCGTGACGAGCGAACGCCTTAACCACAAGGCTACCCCACCGACCCTTTTTATGGATGCATTAGCATTAGTAGGTGTATTCACAAAGGTGTGCAAGACTGACAAAGTGTACACGTTTTACCATACATACGTATGTTTACATATCAACTTAAACCTCCTGGTGTGAGGACATGAACATGGATGCATATATGTCCTGTTATTATACCTTTGGTGATATGGATGCATATCGTTCATACAAAATCAACATTTTGTGTTGGATAACCAGCCAAGGAACGTATCTTTGACAAAGCTGGGGTGAATTCTACATGGCCGTACTCATGAATTAACATTATTTTACCTCCCTATTATGTGGTTGGTGTTATCGCCGCGAATAGGTGCAAGCTTGCTAATATGGCTTTAAGCAACATACTCTCACTATTGGTGCCTATGAATAAAACATTGCATAAGTCTAGGTGCAGTTTTATTTCGTACCCTTTACTGTAAGATTTAGTGAGTTGCCAAACCCAGTAAACAGCCCTGCATGTTGTAAGGCATTCCGAATAGTAAGGCATTCCGAATAGCATTAAATGTCACCTTGACACTCACGAATACCCCGCTATAGTAACATGGGGAAAAGAAAAAATATACAAATCATCCTTTGCAATGTTAGATTAGACTGGCTTTTAAGGGGTGTTAAAATGAATGAGTTCACGTATAACACAAACAAAATATTTCAGTTAATACAATTACCATTACATATGCAGACTATAATATATTTTTTATTTATGTTAAGTTGCTGATTGAAGAAAGATGGTTTATCTCATTCTTTTGTTTGTCTCTTTGATTATATAACAGCATATATGGTGTGGATTAATTTATATAATTCCAATATTTCTTGATTGTAACATTGTATGATGCAAGTTTTGTTGCATTCTCTACATTGCTTCTGTAACGCCACAGAACCACGGAATCGCCGGATCTATTTATGTGTATGGGATGCATGCTTCATTGCCGTCTGTGTGGCACTGACTATACCTGGAATGTGTCTGTCCCTTCGTCTCAGAAGAGAGAATACTTTCTTCATGCTGACAGTCACAAAAGAATCCGTCTGAACAGTTAAAATGTCGTTGTCACATGTCAGTACGGGGCATACAAAGTATAAATGTTTGGTAATTCTAAAGAGCAAATCGCTGAAGGAGTCCTAAATCTTGTCGCTTGTAAAGCCTTGACATTGACTGACATGTGCGTTTGTTTGTTTGTTGTTTAACACCGCACCCAGTAAGATTTCAGCTATATGTAAATAGTCGAGTCTGGATCCGACAATCCAGTGATCAACATCATGAGCATCGATCTACGCAGTTGGGATGTCAACCACCATGATGACAACCTGGACATTTCATAACACAGAGGCCAGAACGATCCAGCTGATGGGACGTACTTTGTCTTCTTATATGGTGTTGATGTCAATTGTTTCCAGTGTTTTTGATTGTTTGATAGGAAGTTATTTCACCTGGTCACAAATTGTTGCAAAAAACTTCTGGATCAGCTCCAAACAGAGCTAAATTATAAAGTTGGGCCTGTTGTGATTGTCTGGTGTGTTTACAGGCCACCGTCGCATGGCAGGAATATTGCAGGATTTACGTCGCCTGCTGTCCAAATATCTACGGTGTCATAGGAGTCATGACTTGCTTTGGAAGTAAAGTCACTGTTAATTGAACAAAGGATGTTACCCAAAACTGGCCGTTCCCCAATGTCCACAGCAAAATATTTCACTGTTCTATGTGAGGGTCAGAACATAAACTGACGGCCAAAAGAAACTTTTAACGCTTTAAAGGGATACTGATCCAGAGCAATTCACGGGGCTGGTTGTTGCTTTTGTTATTGTTTTTCCCCGCGAGTACCCAGATGATGAATTCTTGACTGGGTTGCGATCACTGCTGCGCCACCCCGAAGCGCAATTGGTAGTATACGTATATGACATGTATATACTGACATTGATCAACAAAGATGTAATCTTTTTTACTCATTAACATTTCCATCTTGATTATTATGATAACAAATGAAGCTTTTTTGAAGTTTAACTTCATCTGCCAGTGGTAAGATATGTTAGGACTGATAGACAGCTACTTTATTACAATCGATGCGGCGTTTGGTGTAGGTTACGTCGTATCGATTGCAATAGAGAAGTAGACAACTGTTGTGCCCTTAAACCTACAATGGTCTTATGTGCACCGATGCGACGTTTCGGGGTAGATGCTTAATTATTAGCATCTACACCGAAACGTCGCATCGATTGCAATAAAGAAGTTAAAACGTGCATAAAACCGTTCTTGTTCATCACTAGCTATAACGATTTATACATGTGTTGTGCCTATTAGACTGTTAAAACACACATGGCATGGAACAGGTTTCTTTGTCAGCTCATTTCTCAACTGGTAACGTGATTTGTTTGAGTGGCATTCTAGAAGTTAATAATAATAGTGGATATTTGTAAAGCGCCAGTGTCCACCCACTCATGCATGCTAAGTTGGTGGCATAGAGATGACAAATCTTTATGGATGGTCAACTTCTTTATTTTCACAATGGCGACATTTCGGTATAGATCCTTATACTGTTTTCAAGCATACCGACACCTCGTCATTGTGAAAATATAGTTGATCACCCATAAAGTTTTGTCAACTGGTCACGTGACTGTTTCAGGTTTTTCACATTGGTGTATAGTCTCATTGGTCACTCAAGATAGCACACCTGACAACTATTTGCACCTGACAAAAATTTAGGGCGTCCGCCATTCTTTCGAAAGTAATTTAGTTAGTTACAACAATGAGGAAACAATCAACGTATTGGCGGTTAATCCTTTGAAAGAAGGACATTGTTTTCACCGGCCCTGTACGACAAAGGGTATTCACTATATCTACATACATAAACACTACCTTTCTATAAATCCGCTGTGTAAGGCAAAAGTAATTAATCAATCAGCGTGTTATCAGTTAATCCTTTGATCAAAGAATGATGACAATTTTTATGGATATACAAATTCTTTTATTCTCTGAAAGGCGACGTTTTGATTTCTGTGCACTTCAGACCATTGTAGGTTTAAGGGCACAACAGACGTTTCGAAATAGATTCTAATGTCGTTGCCATGCAAGTGATGACAACTTGCTTGACAAGTTGTATATCCATAAAATTTGTCATCATCACTTGCTTGAAAACGACAAGGAATCTACGTCGAAACGTCGCCTTTTACAGACTAAAATAAGAGTATAAATAAAGGAATGATACATTTACTAAACCATGCATTAGCAATCATGGCTCACGCACAGATAGATCTTAAGATCATTCCGTCCCATCGTGGAGGAAGAATATTAGTTCATCAATGCTACATGTTTAAGAGCAATAAGAAGAAACATTCCAAGCAATCGTTGGAATGTATGTTGAACAATCTGTCCTGCAAGACTGTCAGCAGTAAACGTCATCTTGGCCAAACAAGGAGCATATCATCACCATCAACAGGTAGACGTTGATATATAGGTAATGTGGATATAAAGGTTACAGCTAACTGTATAGATGGGCGACTGGCAACAACGCAGTGGAATCATCTCGAAACCGACCGACCAAACACCAGCAATCACCTTGAAAGCTGACATGGTCGCCTGGAGAGGTTGATTGCAAAGGCTCACCCATCCCTGTTTCAGTTTATTGTGTTCTTGAAACGGGAGCAGAAAAACAACGAAACCCTCCTTCACCAGTACCTCAGTGGAGGGAAGAGGCCACCAAAGACAAGGAAATATCGAAATTTGGACACCCGCTTCTTGACCCTCAGCGAGAGACTTCAGGCTAACCGGATCACTACAATGCGGTTTGTGGACGAGGTTGCTGCGTGTTTGCACTTTGAATGAAATGTATGTAATGTATGAAAATTGTTCAAAATTTCATGTAATGTATGAAAAGTGATTGTAATTATTTAAAATGTGATTGATTAAGTTATGAATAAATGAATGAACAAGTGTATAAAATGTACATGTTATGTGATGATGTAATGAATAAAATATATACTGTAAATAAACCAGTCGTTTGCCAATCGTAAATTACTTTTCCCCAACCGTTTTTTTTTACATGTCCCCAGATTTAAAACACCCCCCCCCACCCCCTGCCATTGTTTCGCTAAGCCTTTGTAACTTGGCAAGGGTAAACTGTTGCGCCAGGCCGACTTGCTAGAAGGGGCTGAAACCGAGATATTAACCCGATTGTCGGCCTGGCAGTACCTCCCCGGTCGCCCAGTCCTCGTGTCCGTCACGG